CATCCTCGCATCCTTGCTGAATCAGAGATTGGTCCTTCATCAATTGACCTCACCTCGTTTGTGTTCAACCTCATTCATTGACGCTACTCATAGTCGCACCTGGAAGATATGAACTTATAGCTAGAAATTTCTTGCTCAAATCGTGTTGCTGGAAGGGTCGGTGTCCCTATGGTTGTGAATATACATATTTTGATTGTTGATTTTATTTTCTGTGTTTCAAGGCCTAATTTTTAAATCTAGCATTTTGTTTTATTTTGTTATTAATTTTTTAGATCCATGCGTTGTCACTGCCTCCTCCTCCTTGTTTATGCTAATGGTTCTTTGACTATGTTTTAGATTTTTTGGATCAATGGTTTTTTTTAAGATTTGTTAATTTTTCAGATATCTTATTAAAATTAGATTAGAGTACTGATTGAGTTGATTTCTCATTTTTAAATTCATCTGAGTCAGGGACATGATCTCTAAATCTTATATACCCTCCCCCCGATCGATCTTTGGCTGCAGGAGGTGAGGCAGAGTGAGAGCAAGAAGAGAGTGAGCATAATAACAAAATCGGCAAGGATGCTGAGGAGAAAAGGCTCAAGCAAGAAGGATGTGGAAGAGAAGAAATTGTCAAAATATTCTCTCTCCTTCAAACAGTTGCTTTGTGAAGTTCATGGAATCTAGTAATTTTAAAATTTAGTAGTGTGATAATTCCATTCTTCCACTCCAAAAGGGATGCAATTTGGTAATTTGTGTTTTAAATTTTCGTGAATGAGGAGCCTTGAAAGTTGAGACTAGATATTGCCATCAAAGCAAAAAAAAAAAAAATTTGAGGTGGATGCAACTTAGCATGCCACATAAGCACAATTAAGTCAACTAACGATCAACCATTTAAGTCTATCAAAATGAGATAACATTGCTCTATTTTTAAAACGTTGAAGGCAACATAACACTTTTTATTATTTTAAAATACTGAATGCTCGATATTTTAAGAACAGATTTGCACTTTTTTTTTTTAATGGAATTAAACGGCTGCTAAGTGTTTACTAATCCTGCCAATTGGCCCCAAACACGTACCGGCTTTTCATTGTTTGGAAAGCCCATGCTTGAACGAACACGTGGTGGGTTGTTGTTTCGCCGCGTGGGGAACCAGGTTCTGTGTATTGATGACAATTTGCTGTTTGTTTGACAGTAATCTTAGACTAGCTTGTACTAATTGGTTGGTCGTCCAATGTGAACGAAGCACGTAAAGTCAACACAATTGTTGGCTTTTGTCATGTTCCCTCGCCCTGTCGGTAATTCTACTCAACGCCACGTGTATTCATTTCATGCCCTCTTTTATTCGCCCATATCTCGTCCATTTAACTTCATCTCCGAAGTCTCACGCCCACACTTCAATCTCAATTATTAGTTTCCTGTTTTTCTCCAAAAAAAAAAAAAAGTTTCATGTTTTAGAAAGCTTATTTTACTAAGCCTTGTTACTGGAATATTATGATAAACAGAAATGCAACTAATGCTTTTTTCTTTTTATTTCGAAGGAATAATCAGCAGCCGAACAATTAGACGTGGCATTGCAAGAGTGGAGAGGCAGTGGGTCCCACCCCACATTGTGAGGGCGGGGGGAGCCAGGAGCCATCCAACAAAGGAGAGAAGCCATGCCTTGAAACTTGAAAGAGCCAGATGAAACAAAATGAATCTCCTGCCGCTGCCATGCATTTTGAGATAATAAAACTGTGCTTTTTTAAAAATTTGATATACATGAATACTTCTCTCATTTTTTGGTCCTACTTATGGGATATAGAGTTAAAATTAATTTTATTTCTATTTACATAACTTTTCACTATTTTATATGTTTATTTTTTATTTTTCTGCCCTTATTCAATATCAAAAAAAATTATTAATTTTTTTTACTTTTATTAAAGATAAAAGTGAAAACATATTAAATTTTAATGAGATTTAAACTTTTTCTTTTCTTCAAAAAACATATTAGAAATGATTTATATATAGAATAGATAAATACTTTATATATTTAATCTGGGGTGCTAATTAAATTTAGGAGGGAGGAGCAATGAATGTTATTTTTAAATTGTAAGTTGATACTTCGAAGTCAATACTTTAATACTATTTTTAATAAATTAAATTTTATTAAATATGGTGACATTAATTTTTTTATTTCTAATATATTTCTATGATATGTTTTTAAATTCAAAGATTAGATTTTTCTTAAAAAATAAGTTTTAGATATGATAAAAGGATAAAAATTATATTTTTTAATTATAAAGATGTAAGAATATAATCTTTTAGCATATAAACCTTGAGTATAGAACTATTAGAAAAAACAAGACGATAGGCAATTAGGTAGAGGTGAAATTAAAATATAATTAATAATTTTATTTTACTTAGTATTACTATAAATAACTATATATATATATATGCTAGGTTGAATGTTTTTAAAATTAAAATTATATTTCTAATTTTTTTATTTTTTTTATAAATATACTTGTACGTATCAGAAACGTATAGTATCTTATATTTTTTAAAATAAAAATATTGATATATTGGATACGTCCGATACGCATATCAGCATTTGTGCAATATAGACTACAGTGAGGCCCTCACTTTCCTTGCCCTTCTACATTTTGTTGATCTTATTTGCTTTTCAATCTTTTCCATCCCATGAGATTGTAAAATAGACATAGTATTAGCTTGGCAAGGATTCACAAAATAGGTACCATGGAATGCGTTGTTTGGATATATTTCCTGAAATATTTGGTGTTATAGATGCAGGATAATGTTCCTTGATAAATGAGGGGAAGGTAGGGGATTAGAAATTGCAACGCTTCACAAGATAAGGACAGATTTTAAACGATTGAATCCATCTCATAGCCTACGAACGAGGGGAATTACTATAACAAGTGGTTCCCACTTGAAAGAGGTAAGATTAGACTCGATGTTGACAGCTTCTATGAGATTGGCTTGGGCAAGTGCGGTGAAGTTATCCTTGACAGCAATGCAAACTAGGCACCGGGCTTCAAATTAAATGTCGGGAATTTTCCACCAATTATTACTGAAGTGATTACTATTCTACAGTAACTTAATTTGTGCCAGATAAATGGTATTCCAAGGTAATAAATTTTGGAAATGGCAAGTTAGTACTTTATAAAGACACTAATGTCAAATTAAAAACTTTAATATTAAAACATAATAGAATGAATATTAAAATTTGAGAACATTAGTGTTGAAAAAAATCTAATTTAACATTGATGTTTTTATAAAGTCCTTATTTGTCATTCTCTTGAGAATTTTTACTGATTGTATTCAAGCAATTAACCTGATCCTCAGAAACAATTATGACTTTGGTATTATTGAGCAAGCTAGGCCCTTTTTGTACAGGGGTAGAAGGCAATAAATTTTTGTGCTCATTGCTTGACTGCTAATGCCTCTAACTGCAATGGTGATTTTCACTCTTTTAATTAACCACATTTTTTTTTATTTTGTGATAGGGGCAATGGTTGATGAGAAGTTGTTGACATAGCTTCTCTTATTTGTATCCGCTGTTGTGAGGAATGAATCACCTCTTTAGCCAAAAAGAAAAATAGACACAGCATTAAAAAGTTAAGCTAACTTGCCAAAATGAAGAGGTAAATTGTTGAATTAATGCATAAAACGGTTCGATAAAATGCTTGCTTATAATCAGTTTAATCACAATTCAATTGCCAATTTTCACCATTAACTATTAAAGTATCGATCTATTTAATAATCAGTTCCGATATTTGGAATTTGGTACCTTTTTATAGGAACAAATAGAATGGCGACACTAAGACAAGGGAAGAAATGTTCATAGAAATGAATGCGATTAATTGTTCGACTGGGATTATTAGACGTGGACAGAGTAGAAAAAGAAAACTCGGGGTGGGAAATTCAGGTACAGCTCCAAAAACGTTGAGGTGGACGCGAATCAAGAAATGCATTTGGTCTCAATTGACACGTACGGAGAGTTTTCCTGTTACGGTATCACGGAATATATATATACATATATCGGGTTAAAGTGAATTTTTATCTTAAAAGTATTTTTCAAAAAATCCCTAACATTTTAATATTTTTATTAAAATAATTTTATTCTTAAAGTTATTAAAATAAAATATTTTTATTTTTTTATCAAATTTTCTAACAATCAACATTAAAATTTTAATAAAAAAGATAAAAATATTTTATTTTATAACTTTAAAAGTAAAATTATTCAAATAAAACGTTAAAGTATGGGTGCTTCTTAAAAAATACTTTAAGAATAAAAATACACCTTAATTCATATATATACACAAATCAAAATCTCATCCCTTATTAAAATAATTATTTATATTTAAATTAATCATATATTTTTATATTTATTTTTATTTAATAAGTTGTTTGATCTTAAATAAATATAAAATAATTTATTTAATAGAAGTATTTAAAAAAAAAGACAACAATACCTTATATTTTTCAAGAAGGGAGTAATTTTTTTTGGAAAAAAACGGAATACATATAGTACTTTTATTTGTATTTATTTTTGATGTTGAAGTTTATTTATTTTTTGACTACCCAGCTGTAGATAAAAATTACATACTGTTGATGCAATTTATAATTCTAATACAACTTAATAAAAATAACAATGTACCATTTCATTCCATCATAAAATTTTTTTATAACTTTCGCCACACAACTAATGAGTAATAAGAACATTTGCATCTTTTAAAAAAAATTAATAACAACAAAATCAGAAAATATTATAGATATGTTAACATTTAAAAAAGTCATAAATTTAACATAAAAAACTCAATAATACATAAACTTGTAGTCCTTCCTCATCTGGTATGACGCAAATAAAAAAAAAAAACAGAGATGTCATGAAAAAGAAAACCATTATTGGACAACAAATATTCTAAAAATAAAAAACAATAAAGTTGTATAAATAATTAAATATATTGAATTTGAAGTGTCATTTTGTGATTCCTGTCGAAACGCTGCCAGGGTGGTTCGCTTGGAATAACCTTTTTAATGGAAGCGCCACACACGGAGGCGACGGACATGAAAGTTAGAAAATCTGGTAAAGCATGGTCATACATGATGCACATAACCTCTCTTTCCCTTTTCTGTATCTCCGTCTCCCATATTATTACGATCGTGACTGCCAACAATGGAAAATCGCCTTCCTCCACTCACACCTCCCAACTCACAATTTTCTCTAAACCAAACTAACCCACCTTCTCTCTCTAGAACCTTTGCTTTTTCCCTTTTCTCACCATTCATCTCTCCCGCTCTCTCTTTTCACGACCCTGACAAAAACATATTCTCCATCCTCCCTCTTTCTCTGTTCAAGATAGGGACCATAACACGGCCAACCCTCTCCAGCCATGGCTGATGCCACCAAGTACCTTCCCGTCGGTGGAGGGAACCTCATCTCAGACCTTATGAGCTTCCTTGCTTATTTCAAGACCAGAAGATCAGTGCCCTTCGCCTATGGCTTCACGCTCGCTTTTGTTGCTTTCACTTTTTTCTTAGCTTTCTCTCCTTCCCCAAATGCTTCTTCCCCTCCGTTCACCAATATATTAACTTCAAGTTCTACGCCTGCTCCATATAAATCTCAATTCAATTCCCTTTTCTCCTACTTCTTGCCCAATATTTCATCTCCCGATCAACCCCAAAGATTCCCTCTCTATATCAACACCACTTCTAGATCTATTAATGTCACTTCTTCATCTCCTGTCTCAACTTCCAAACCATCCTCTTCCAAAAACCACAGTCCTTTTATTTCTTCCCAAAATAAATTTCCGGCCACGAATCAGACCGCACTTCCCTCATCTAATTCTACTAAGACGTCAAGTAATCGGACATCAGTTTTGCCAGTGAAGCTGCCTCTCATTGTGAATAAGGAGCCATCCGGCGCTGTCAATCATACTCGGAGTCCTGTGAGGTCTGATGAAAGTAAAGCTGCGAAAGGAAATCAAACCACAAATGTCGCCGCCTCGCCAAAAGTTTTGGTGTCTCCTCCTCTTCAAAGTGTACCCGTGAGCCCCAAGAAGAATTTGAGTTCAGTTGAGGGAGTGAAGGGTGTTGCATCGAATAATTATACGGCTTCCTTGGCGAAGAAGCAGAGCAATTCTACTATTCCGGGACAGAAGAATGAGTTGATTGAGTCTCTGATGAAATGTGATTTATTTGACGGGGAATGGATTAAGGATGATTCATATCCTCTTTACAAACCCGGTTCTTGCAGTCTGATTGATGAGCAGTTCGATTGTATTCAGAATGGCAGGCCTGATAAAGACTATCTGAAATACAAGTGGAAGCCTAAGGGTTGCAGTCTTCCGAGGTGTGTGAATTTGATGGTATTTTGTTGTCTTGTCGTTCGTTTCGAACCAAATCCGTTAGGTTTTCTGTTATTCTGTAACGGATTTGGCGGTTGTTTGGTATTGAGGTTTCCTCTCGGGAATGTTTGTATTCATAAAAGTTCCAAAAAAATTGCCCAACTTGCGCCGGTGATTTACTTCGCCAATTGATTTGTTTGTGTTCTGCTTTGCCCTGTCTTCTTCGCATCCTTTGATATATTTGACAGTCTTCTGAAGTTGCGATTTAGGGAAGTAACGCTTAAATATCTACAAATACAGGTTGGACGGCCATCGTCTTCTAAATATGCTGAGAGGGAAACGCTTGGTTTTTGTAGGCGATTCCCTGAACAGGAATATGTGGGAATCTCTAATTTGCATACTGAGACACTCTGTCGAGAATAAAAGCAGAGTTTATGAAGCAAACGGCAGGGTCCAATTCCGAGGGGAAGCCTCCTATTCTTTTGTATTCGAAGTCAGTATTCTTAAATTTCCATTTCTTTTTTTCTGGTTTGTGAGATATTTTCGTTCCTCTCACGTTGTTCATTTGTGTTTCATGGGCGAGTAGGATTATAACTTCACCGTAGAGCTTTTCGTATCTCCATTCTTAGTTCAGGAATGGGAAACGGCGAACAAGAATGGCTCAAAGAAGCAAACGCTTCGTCTGGATCTGGTTGGGAAGTCTTCTGATGAATACAAAGACGCAGATATTATGATCTTCAACACTGGCCACTGGTGGACACATGAAAAAACTTCGAGAGGGTAAAAGCATTCCTATTTCCTTTTCTCTGTTTCATCAATTTCAACCCGTCTCCTCCTGATTCTGTTGTATTCTGCAGGAAGGACTATTACCAAGAAGGTAGCCATGTCTATGAGGAACTAAACGTTCTGGAGGCATTTCGAAGAGCAATAACGACATGGAGCAGATGGGTTGATGCCAACGTGAATCCATCGAAGTCTATGGTCTTGTTCAGAGGCTATTCTGCTTCCCATTTCAGGTAAGGCGACGCCACTGATTAGGATTGCATTATTAGCGTTAGTCCGCGGAACTCGAAGACTGATGATAAACATAGGTGTGTTTTGTTGTGAAATCACAGTGGGGGGCAATGGAATTCTGGAGGGCAGTGTGACAGTGAAACGGTGCCAATCGAGAACGAGAAATACCTGACAGAATACCCAGCAAAGCTGAGGGTTCTGGAAAATGTGATCAGATACATGAAAACGCATGTGACGTATCTGAATGTTACGAGAATGACGGATTTTCGAAAGGATGGTCATCCGTCCATTTATAGGAAGCAAAACCTATCGCCAGAGGAAAGGAGATCACCATTAAGATTTCAGGACTGCAGTCACTGGTGCCTTCCCGGCGTTCCTGATACTTGGAATGAGATTCTCTATGCCGAGCTTCTAATCAGACAATATCAGAATCAGAAACACAACAATAGATCTTAGGTTTATCCGCCAAATGCATATTTATATTCGATGAGTTGAGCTTGTGCAGAGACAGATACAATACATTGGGCTTTGGTCCTATCTGTTTCCTGGCCATGGTATAGCGATAGGCTGCTGCTTCTTTCTTTTTGTGATGTTGAAAAATGATTATGTTACGTGAATGTTAGAATATAGCAGAGGTAATAGTTGATGAGGAAAGAGGAGACCCCAGTGGGGTGTCTTCTCGGGTCATTGTAAATTAATAATCCCTCTCAATTCTACGCACCTACTTAAGACGGTACTGTAAAGATTGAGAATGATGCTGTTTTAAATTCAAATTATTCTGTGAAAATTGGTCAAAAGTAATGAAATTGATTGAAAATTAATTACAATAAATAAAAATAGGTACCCCCCCTGAATCAAATTATTTTTTAAAAAAAAATTGGTGAGCGATGCTTTAACATGTGAGATATTTTTTTTTTATATGATTCAAAATTTGTAATAAAATAAGTATATGATTATAAGCAATAATATTAGTTCACGATAATTTGGTAGCTTTCTTTGAATGACTCAACTCTTGTGACTATTTTCATGCTCGATGTTGGAGAAGCAGTGAACGATGGTCAGAATCAGTAGGCAAACGGCTATTAATTAGGGAAAATATCATTTAAGGATTATTGAGAGTATTTAATATCAATTAAGGATAAAAATTTTTTGAAATATTACTGCAGGATGAGAGAACTAATTTAAAAATAATTTTAAATTGCAAAAAACTATAACACCTCTGACTTTCTTTTTTTAATTGACAAGTAGTTAATTATGAATTAACAAGTACCTATTCGCTTTTTAATAAGAAGTTATTCATCAATTAAAGAATTATAAAAAACTTGATTGTGGGAATGAATAATTGTAGGTCATATTTCAATAATTAGTCAATTGTTAATTAACAAAAAGTTATTCACTAATTGACAAATTCAATAATACAAAAGAACTTGATTGTAAGAAAGGATAAGTATAGATCATGCTTTAATAAATAATTATTCGTTAATTAATAAGTATTCATTTATATTTAATAAAAAACTGTTCACTAATTGATAAGTTTTTCAAAAAAATAAGGATATTATAATCCTTTTTCATATAAATTTGTTTTCAAATTAGTTTCCTAATTCCACAATAATATTTCAAAATATTTTAATCTGTATTTGATATTAAATTGCTTATATAGACCTTGAATGATATTTTCCCTATTAATTATGGATTGGAGGCCATGGAGTGAGTGACCATGTTCTTGGAACTTTTAGTATTTCAAATGTTATTATATGTTCGTAGTAATTAGAAGCTAGACAAAGACTGTGGCCTTTCGTTTCATTTTTTATTCCATTTTCCTTTTCCAACCGACAATGTCCTGTTAATATGGAGAATCTGAAATTTTATAGATCAATGGACTGTGTTTCTATTAGTCATGTGAACTCTTTAGACAAGTTGAAGGCTTCGGCAATTCACTGTTGACGTCTTTCGGAAAGGGATCTTCATTTTATAATGTCCCATTCCCACCTGTCATCGTAACACTTACAAGTAATCAAGGGCATATGATCAGGTTTTACTATTTTAAATTAATTAAGCATTTTGTTTTTTTTTCCCTGCCCTTTCTTCATCTTGACGTTTCTTATTTATGCAAATAGGAAGGAAAAATCGATGCCTAGAGTTCTCTCTCTCTCTCTCTCTCTCTCTGCTTTTTTTTTTTGGCCTTGGTTGATGGTGTGGGCAAAATGTTAAACGATGTTGTAAACATTTCATTATTTATCATACGGAATGGTTCGTAACGAAGGGGGAAAAACGAATAAATCGTTATTTGATTTCTTTTTTGGTAATTCATAGAACTCTCTCTCTCCTTTTTGGCTATGTCACGAACCACTAGCTGCAATTTAGTAATTTATTATTGTTGTCAATAATTATTTCACTTAACTGGTCGGTGTATTTTATTTTTTCAGCTACATAAGCCAGTTCGTGCACTTAGTCAAAACTAAGCGTTTCACATTGTAATTTTTAAATCACATGCATGAACTCCGTTAATGCCAGGGGTTTTATAAAACGCAGCAACCATATCATCGATCGGCTTCTCGGCCTCCCCTTGATTAATAAAATCAAATCAAATATGGTTAAACATAACGTATTCTGAGGAGAGCTTCCATTTTAATATTAAGTATATTATAACTACAGGCTATACTACCTTTGTCATGGACCCCGAATTTGTAACCAGGAGCACGCATGTAAGGTTTTAAGCCTTGCTTTGTATTATCAACAATTAGAGTCGGGCTTTCTATTCTAAAGAAGTTCGCATAATATGAAATACAGTTTTTATTTTTTATTAATATTGATTACATTGATGTGAAAACTTAGAGGTTTTATCCACTTATCCTAAGAAAAAGAATAAAAATCCTTCACCTCGTTGAAGTCATTAATTTAACAAGAGGAAATAGTCTGGCCCAAAAAATTGGGTACTAAAGTTTGGGGCCAGGTCTGATCCATGAGCCCAACACTTCATAGGCCCACCAATTCAGTTGTATCATTCTACAACATTACGCATCTAGGCTCTCGAAAGAGCCCATCAGAGCTGGCCTTCCTATCTTTTGGACGTTCCATTCCTGTAATATTTTCAGCCATATCACTCTTAAATTAACTCTGCGTTGACTGCCCACCAGGTCCCTGATACTAGAAAACAAATGATGAGAGGGTGTCTCGAGAATTCTCCATGTTGAAGGTTAAAGATGAGAAGCAGGAAGACGCATCACGTAAAAGTAGACAAGGGATGTTTCATGGGGTGGGCGTGATTGGCGTCAATGTGAAATAAGAGGAAGACCCAAGTTAATTTGACCAAACATGTTTTGCCAACAACGCAACACCCTTAATTGCATCGGATCCTGCTCGAGCCTGCTCCTCTCTTCAATTCCTTCACGCTAATCGCGTGCTCTTTTATGTATGATGTTGGGCATGAATCAGTGCGTTGCTAAAACCATAGTACATCACAAAATTGAACTTCCAGAGAATTAATGACAAGAATTTAATATTGGAAGAAGGGTATCGGGAATCCCCATGATAATGTGCAAGAATATATTAAAACTTGGTTTATCAGGACCGCGTGGCGCAATCAGCGCGCTCGCAAGTGATTAACCTAATGAACGTAGCAGTAATAATGCGCATATCAGTCTGAGAGTCCATGACATGCAATGACTAGGTTCCCTGCACTCAAGCCTCAAGGGCTGGAATGCATTGGCGAATGTCATTTTTATTTTTAATTCGACTTAAATTAAATTGTTTGAATACATTAATTTGAAGCGAGACATATGGTTGAGGGCTAATAATTTTTAGTTTTTACATAATGTAGCTGGTGATTCTATTCCTTTAATTACAGAGGACTTCTAGTTTTCTGTTTTGCTGTTTTGTTTTGTTTTTTTCATTCATTCTTATTAAAAAAAAAAAAGAAGGGAAACATATGGTTGAGGGCTAATAATTTTTTTTGGGGGGGGGGGGGTTCATATTTAATTTGTTGCACCCAATGAGCTGGGAATCAGATGCGAACAGTGGGTTTGAAGGCGAGTAGGCCTGGCAGAGGATCTGGAGAATTCAATTGTGAGTACAATCCAAATCCAAAAGGATATTTGATGGTTCGGGTTAGTGTGTTTCCAGCTCAAGACTCAAGTACTGATCTCTAGCAGACACAGACGCTACAGCCTCATCTGCAGCGAAAAGGCATCTCTCTCTGGACAAACTAGATCTCAATGTATCTCATTTCTGACACATTCCTATGTGACTTCTCACTGTTTAGCTGCATCTAGGCTTCCCTCGGCTTTCTTTACTCAGATTCCCCATTAATCCATCCCTTCGAGCCTCTCTATCTCTGTTAAGTGTTGACTGGAGTTTTCGCCTTCTGCATCATTCACTCTAATCACTTTAAATTCATGCCACTGTTCTTCATCTTTAAGAAATTTAACATCATGACGGTATTCTTCATTTTGAATTCACATGGACCCCCCCCTCCTTATCCTGTGGGATTTTCATGTGTGAACCAAATTTCGTGCTGTTACTGTGACCTTACAAGGGAATTTACCCGGGACCCCGCAGATATGCCAAACTTGATGTTCATTTCTCCGTTCAAGTGTTCCATGACATTCAATCCTTTCCTCAAGAAAAGATAAATTAAAATTATATGACAGCAAAATTAGACATAACTCTTCACGCTAAATTATAATAGTCACAGTACCAAAGATATGAAAGAGAAGAAACTCGTTTAATCAAATATGACGTCTTGTTTTGTTTTGTTTAGGTAAATAAGAAACAGATTATCATTCCCGAGTACGCCAGCAAACTCGAGAAAGCTCGTGCTTGGAAAATGCATTCCTCACTTATTATACTATTATTAGAGTTAGTTGGGATGATATTCAAATTTCAAACGACCAATAGTACTATTACCGTTTGTTACCATTCCTTTAAAACTTTTAAGAAGTCAAACGATGGAACCTGGATAACAATAACACCAATGAAGGGCACAGTTCACCCAAGATAAAAGCCATTTGTATTTTGTCATTTTGATCCACAAAAAACAAAAAGATCCTCGAACCAGAAACCCCACAAAAAGAAAAGGCAAAACTATACAGATGGAAGAGATGGCGAGGGGAACGCATTGTCTTCTTCCTTCCACTATAATATGATAAAGAAATATGCGAGACAAAAAGAGAAAGGGAGAATCACAATGCGATCATGAGGAAGGAGTCACAGTTCTGGGGTTGGTAAGACAAGAGTTGCGAGGCTTGAGAGGCGTTACTGGGGGCCGTGACGGAGGTTAATGCGGACGCAGACGATGATGAGTTGGTGGCCACCCTTTCGCAGGAGGGACACATTGTTAGAGTCGTAGCTGGAAGCTGCATGTAAAATGGCTGGGACGTCTTTAAAGCCCTCAGCTCCTGCAGTTCCTTCTGCAACCTCCTATTCTCTTCCGTCAACGTCTCACAGCATCTCTTTAGATACTCGCAATCTACTTCCGTCTGCTTCAACTTTGTCCTGTACATTTCAATAAACCCAACCAATTCGTATTGCTATTTCTCCTCCGTATACAACATAAAATGAATGGTAAGATTAAGGAACCGGGTATTTCTACCTTGCCCTCCTGTTCTGAAACCAAACTTCTACTTGTCGGGGACGAAGGTTTAATTGTTTTGCCAGAACAAGTTTCTGCTTCTGCGGATTAAGAATTAAGAAAATCAGGAACACAATAACGCAGAACAATTTACCCAAGAAACCCAAAGGACGAGGGATTTAAGGACTAACAGGATTAAGTGTAGTGTGTTCTTTGAAACTCTCTTCAAGAAAAGCGGATTGTTCCTTGGAGAGCCTGAGTTTCTTGCGAGTCGACCCGTTTTCATCATCGTCACTGGCCCTAGAGCTGGTTCTCTCACCCTCGCCCTCGTGCTCTCTCTTGTTTTTACTGCCAGCATTACCATTCCTTGTGTAGAAGTCCATGTGAAATGACGAAACGCTGTTAGGAGACGACGACAGTGGAGTACCGTCGTCCGCCTCCTCCGCTACCGCAGCAGGTAAACGATTGACGTCCAGGGCCTTCGCTCCTCCATCCGGCGAGAAACGTTGGGATCCCACTGTCATCCACAATAAAAAGATTCGTTAGAAAATCCTCACCAAAGACGGTCAGATTCGCTGAGAAATGAGAAAATGGTGCGAGTGAGATTAAAATAAAAAAAAAATGAAAGAAAACATAGGAGCGAAGAAGGGGAGGAGGTGGTATTTACGAGAATCGGAGAGCCAAGGAATCCGAAGATGGGAAGGAGGGAGGGGCCGGGGAACGGGAGTGAAAGGAAGAAGGTCGAGCTGAAGAGGCGGATCTGAGGATGCTCTTCTCTCATCTTGGACTTCCTCGGAGGTATTGTCGGCGAGAACTTGGCCAAGTGACATGCTGAAACCAGCTTCCTTGTTAGGCATTCTCGGGGCCTTGTCCAGTATAGGGAAGCCCTTTGGTGCGTCTCCCAAGCTCAAAGCCAGCTCCATCTCGGGCGAGATAGAGACAAGTCAGGATGGTTTTCTGGTGTAAAAATAATGTAGCCGCAGCCCGCAAGCTCAAGGCTTTGAAAGCAGAAGGCGACCTAAGAATGTAGCGGTCACGCTCTCGTTCAATGCAAGACGAAGAAAGTGACGAGGTTAGAAAGTGGAAATTGCAGAATCCTTTTCTCCGCCAACGACCCCTTTTTATTTCTGCTCCTTCGGCATGTGGGAGTAAAGATTGACCGACAAATCCAGGTTGACAAACGCACGTGAATCTATTTAAATACACAAACCCTTCTTCGCTTATTTCGTACACTTCCCTGTTTACACAACCCTTCGCTATAACCATGCCTTACTTGGGATATTAATATCGGGTGAGAGAGATAATCAATAGGGGGATTTTTTAAATCTTCCATAGATGAGATATCAGGCCAGGTTGGCCTTCCTAGTTTGAGACGTCTATTTTTGTCTCTTTATTTTGTTAAATTATTATGCTCTCTCTTGTCATGTCATATATATTTATACTTTCTCTCTTAAAAAATATAAAATATTTTTAAAAATTAGATATTAAAAAATATAAAAATATTTTTTATTGATGAATGATTTTATATTTATTGTAGGATGTTTAATAGGTATAAATATAAAAAAATAAAATTAATATAAAAATAAGTAATTATTTTATTGAGAATGATATTCGGTTAAAAATATCTTATATTTTAAAAAAGGCAGTAACATATATTTTACAATTACAAAGGAGAAAAGCCATTGATTCCAATTACAAGTTACATTTATAGAAAGATTTATTATTACGCAATTGATTTCCTCTTATTTTACTTTTTACAATTTTCTACATGTAAAATAAAATATTGCATGTGAAGAAGAGTATTTTTAAAAATAATGTATTTAATAAAAATAAAATTAAAAATTATTTACTTAAAATGACACCAATTACTTGACTATATTTTTTTAGAATGATAAAATAGTGAAAAACGATTTATAAACATTTCTAAATGGAAGGGAACAAATATATAGAGTACTCTAGCAACAATCATCAGCAGCGTGACAATAATGACTACATTAGATCATGATTATAATTATGAAAGAATGAGAGTGAGAATAAAAATCATGATGCATGGCACAGAGGTGATGTCGAAGGGAGAAGATGATAAAAATGATTAGCAGGGTTTGGTGGGAAATACACAATGATGGGAGATAGCGAGTAGGAAGACAGCGATTTGATATGCTATGATTCTGCCGCATTGACAGCCCATGAGATTGTATAAGCTTAAAAAGTGATGGCAGTTTCCGAGCTTAACTCTGATTAAAGTCACCCATTTTGAAATGAAGTGGCCAATAGGCCATAGTAGCTTCCACGCCTACACGCCTACTCCACAATCACAGCATATAACTTCCCTTCCCGGCACTCACACCAGCCCTCATTCATGGCAATCTCAAAGTGGAAATGTTGTGGAAGGGATAAAACTTTATTTGTTTTATAAAGGAAATAGACATGAGGGGGGGGGGTACTTTAGGAGGAACAAGCGTGACGGGAACAAAGATAAAAAAAAGCAGGGACAGGGATGGGGGAGATGATTAGCAGGAGATCTTAATTTGACCATGTTAATAAGGCAGACAAAGCGACCACCTTTTACTATTCCCATAAAAGCTTGCCACTTAAATAAATTAAGAATAATGAAAATGAAAGGGGAAGGTTCTTTGGGCACTTTTGGAAGAGCAGCATAGTCCATCCAATGACTTGAAAAGAGGAAAAAAGAGAGGGATAGGGTATCCAAGGAGTCCACAGAACGGGGAACCCTAATTCAAATAAGCCGAGGGCAAGGGAGCCGTCCTATGCGGTGGTCCCGCTCGCGTGCCTTTACTTTCCAACAAAAGCCGTCCTACCAATGCCCTCTCTCTCTATACTTATAGCTCATATTCTTCTTTTGTTTTTTTCCTTATATTACAAGAAATGTCACTCCTTTTAAAAAGGTCTTTGCAATGTAGCTGCTCCTTTCAGTCCAATATTTGTCAATTACAATTTTTAAGCTTCAAAATTATTTGCATATCTTTCCAATTTTTTAAGTAGTTGACTCCTGTGAAACTCCCTTCAATAATAATAAATGAAAGAAATATGGGTTTTCAAAAATCATAAACACTTTACTCTTCTCTACGTTATATTTTGAATGGAGCAGAGTTTTTTTTTCCCTGTAAAACAATTTTTTTGTAAAAAAAAAGGGAGCAACAGTGGTGAGGTTGGGGCGTGGAAGGGAAGCGAGGAGGGAAGGGAGGTGGGGAGGTTGGGAAAATAAGAGCACAAGGGGGAGGGAGTGTCATGGTTAGAGGATCAGAGCAATAATTGAAGGGGGAGGCAGGCTTTCATGAGAATGGGAAGTGCGTGAGTGGGACCCCTATCTCCTCCCCAAAACGAACCGTCTCACGATGATCAATTATAAGTCCATTTATACACACCCCTCGTCCCTCGGCAAGAGAAGCAGAGCCTGGCATCCCAAATTAAAACCACCAAATAATGGTCCCTGTGCTTCTTGGCTCCAGCACCCGACTAGGCACACAGGCTGTCGCATACGCGTGATTTCATTTCATATATGTAATAATAATAATAAATGACTTCATTAATTAGAGTGGGTGGCAAAATTAAACACGGCTGAGCTCCCCTACATGTATTGGGAGGCAAAATAAGAGGGAGGTGGCCAGGGAGGGGCGGCACAATGATAAGGGTATATTGAGGGAATGATGGGTCACGTGAGGAAGGCGTGAGGGAGTAAATGATGAGGCTCCGTGTCAGGATTCAGAGGAATGACGTGAAGGAGCAGCAGCGTCAATGTGCCATTACTGCTCACTCATTACCCCCCCTTCTTCCATGGCTTGCACAATTCCACATTTTGGTGGGACCGGGTGGGTGGCGGAGTCCGTGATTGGGAAATTAAACGAGTTTATTCATGTGATTTATGAGATTAATAAAGAGGCTGTGATTTTTTCGGGGAGGGCCCACCGATGGGGACGTGGTGCAGCGGCTCAAGGAGACAATCTAGGCAGCGGCAATCATTTGTACGTGGGATCTTCGGAATATCTAACGCTGAGCAGGATGCCGTATTTCTTAATTACAACACTCGCTAGCATCTCTCTCATGCCCCTGTCCCCCCTTCCCCCGGGCCCATTCCCCTCCTTCCCACCTCTTTTCCGAATAACTTCCCGTGTTTGGGTTCCACGCAATTCCTTGCCTCGCAACATCAAACACCTCACACCCCCCCCCCTCCCCATGCATCCTTCACTGCACGTCCTAATTTACATTTCGTGTCTCCTTTCCTACTAAAACCATTCCCAGCAGATCATTTCATTCCCAAATCGATTCGATGCCACTGTACGTCCTGAAAATTATTCTCCAATTCCATAATCTCATTATTGTGAGGTGTGAGTAATTGCATCATTGTTGCTATTGAATGCTCCATCATTTCATTACAAATCGTTCATTATAACCAGATGAGCTTGCTTTGCTGATAAGTGTTTCTTCTTTAAAAACAAATAAAAGCGATGGGGGTGCGGAACCATGGAATGTGTCGTCAGTAAGCCTCGCAAGCAGGAGCTGAATGTCAATACTGAACTAATGGTACATACAATACATATATTTGCAATTCATGTGCCTTCCATTTCAATCAATTATGCCATCATGTTCTGACCTGACCTCTCTTTGTTTTACGCTGTTTGGCCGTTTTCCCGGCATTCACTCCCCCGCCCTGGCCACGAAACAAACAAAAAAGTCTTCCCTTCAGCTACCGAACGAACGTACGATACTGCACAGCACCCCGCTGTAGCCACATTTATGTGGGTGCGATGCAAATTTAGCCGCTCATTGCAATTAATGTTTGCACCAGCTCAACTCCGAACGCGTCTTAAATTCCAACCACATTGTCTTGTCAACGAGGACCCTTTGAGACATGCAATAATAACCTGGGGGATCTTAATTTAGCCGACGGAGTTAGCCGGGTAATGATGAGAAACTGCTTGAGACTGGTCTATCTGAGCTCATCCGTCCCCCAGATGGCCAGGTGCAGTGTCATCATAAAAGCGTTTTCCTTTTCCGAGACACGGAATTGAATGTCCGGTATGGGAAGGGATATAACCGTATCCCAAATGCCCAAATTCCGTAAATGTGAATGACATTACATAGCTGAGAAGAAGAGGCCTGTTTCAAGGTAGCGAGCTCGGTGCGTAGGAATACAGCAGCTCAGCCGGCGGAGTCGACAATCAAGACCAGTGTAGTCGTATAGATGCAGCTACGGTATCCCCAAGTCACAAAGCTAATCTCATGCCCCTGTGGCGTGTGTCCGTGCAAAAGCTGACGATCAGATTGAGTGAGATATCATATCCCACTCCCCGACTCTCTTTTTCCGAGCGCTGTTTTTATGTAATCATGAGTGCTTGCATTATTCCTTCCAGATTACTCCGGTCTCATTTATAAATTTCATTTTAAAAAGTGTATTTGATTACATTTATAAGTCATGGTGCGTCTTTTTAGGTAATATTTGAGAGGTATTTTCAAAATTACACTTCATGAGAGAGAAAAAGTAACAGGACATTACTTTTTAGATTTGTTATATAGGGACATGTTTAGAATTTTACTTACTTTTATTTCTTATACTTTTATTGTATTGATATTGATGAGGTTGGTAGAAATGACTTATAATTAGAACCGGAGGAAGTATATGCTATATGCGCGCCGATGCCACCCCTTCTCACTCCTTATTCATTACTTGCGGGTCTCTCTCTCTGGTGCTCCTGGTTCCCTTCATTGATTATGCACCCTTCCATTACTACCCTTCCTCGTTACTCTCTCTCCCTCAGATACTTATCTTCTTAAACATACCCCGTTCGAATGTAAATTTTAGTCTCAAGATTGGAATCTATGATGAAAAGGCAAGAAATTAGAACCAGGGGGGGGGATAATGGTGAGGGCGAGTTACTCTATTATTATATCTACCTCGCCTTCATGATTGCATGCGATATAAAGTCTGAACGCATTGCGAGTAGTAATTGGATTGCATTTATTATTAAACAAATAATTGTTCGGCAATTATGAACGGCAGAGCATTATCCAAGGAGAGACAACTCAGCATGCGATCCTGCACATACAAGGGTTCATGCTCCCTTCTCGTGCATCATTGCATTGATTTTTCCCCCCTCCTTTTCCTTTCGTTATTATTTAGTAGTATCATGATTATCATAATCGTCGCCATCATAGTCCTCCGACTTCTTCAACCTGGGATGCTGGTCGATGCCGGCAAAGTATGCGACATCAGACCCTAAAATATTTGACCTTAGAGTGACTGGATCAGAATGATGTGGACTTTGCGCTTGGTATATCCTTTTCTGTTCCGCGTTGCCTTTTTGAAAACTCTAAATTTTACATCATCGTTTATTATTGCACCATTAACACATTGCAATGAGTCGGCCGGCTCAGTGCCTCCTTCGCCCTTGAAGCTAAATCTGTCCAAGGATTCGGAGATTGCGATTCGGATCTACAAAGTCGCGTGATTGAAACATAGCATCTGGTTGATTGTGATTTATAAACAGATATCATAATAAGTTGCTCCAGTTCGTGTTTCGCGATATTTCTTTTAATTGCCAAGCCCGTTCTTCTTCCTTCTTAATCGCTATGCGTGTCCTTTTTATTCGAGACAATTATATTTGACGTACCCTTTGATGCCAAGTGTGGCTGAAGACCGTTCATTGATTAGTGGATTACTCATCTCGACCTAAATATAAGAGATAGTTAATTAATTTTAAAAAAATTAATCTTTTAATCCTTCAACTTTTAACTCACTTTTAACTCAGTCCCTCAATTATGACTCACTATAATTCAATCCCTCAACTACAACTCGCTGCAACTCAATCCTTTAACTTTTAATTTACCTATAATTTGGTCCTTATTTTATAATTTTTTTAAAAATTTTTTATCAAACAAGAGGGATAAAAATGCTTATATATTATTTTAAAATACTCTCTTCTTATTCATTAATGTGAGATATAAATTAACATGAAAAAAAATTAACAAAAGTTAAGGACTAATTTGTAAGTGATTCAAAAGTTAAGGGATTGAGTCATAGGCGAGTTATAGTTGAGGGATTGAGTCTCAATGAATCATAATTGAGGGATTGAGTTACAAGTGACTTAAAAGTTAGAGGGCTAAAAGATTAATTTTTTCATTAATTTTTAATGTACAGTTTACGAATAATGTTATTTAAAATCTTAAATTTTAAAAAATATTCACATATTTTTATTTATATTCTTATTAAATATTTTATATAAAAGTTTTGATAATAATAATTAAAATTATAATAAATGATTTAAAAAACATTTAATAAAGTAGGAAGATAGTTAAAAAATATAAAAGTTATTCCATATCTTAAACCATACAAAGTTTTCAAAAAAAAAACGCTTTAAGCGGAAAAACAGATGGTAAGAAGAAATGGAAATAGAAAAAATTCTAGTCAAACAAGAAGAATTAATAATTCTGGAGAAGCAAATTATAGTGAACCAATAAAATGGGGAGAGGAATCTTTAACGGGCGGCAAAGCATCTCCCATATACGAAGAACTAATAATTCTAGACGGATAAATATTTCTGGTAGCGAAAGCCATGTTAAAGTATCTCTGAAAGTTGTACTCATGGCGAACAGATCTCATCATACTTTGCCAGCATTATTATCCCTGCAGTTTCTTTGGCACCAAAGGTTCAGATGAAGATTATATAAGCAAATATATATATATATATATATATAACGCCGTGGCGTACACGGCATCAGGAGAAAGATCACTGGAATCTAGGAGTACAGTTAGTTTTCTCATCAGCCTTGGTTTTTTCTTTTCAGGGAGGGGAGAGGAAAATCAAATGCACTGTTTATGTTAGGATCTCAAATAATAGACTTGATTAGTGTTGGTCAAGGGATGGAAAAGCCTTCTTTTAAATCTGGTGATTATATATTAATTTCACGAAGGGGCCGGAAGCATGCATGCTTGGCCAGGGGGACGAGTATAGAATTATGATGGAATAATGATGATGATGATCGTAATAATGATAAACGATAATGTAAATCCGTCGCCCAGGAAAACAATGATGATGGAAATGAAAGGGGGGAATAAACTGGTTTTCATGATGATAAGTAAGAGATGGAGAAGCATAAACTTGGGCATATAAAAAGAAGGATGATGTTGTTGGGTAATAATGACAAGAATTGCTTGAATGTTTGACCAGAGAAAGAGAAGTGATGAGATTCCTTCAAACACACTCACCCGTGTGTCCAATCATTCCCCCCCTCTCCGTTAATAATTTTGTCCCCTTTCACCTCTTTTCCAAACTTCCCATGCTTCAATATTCCATCTGAGACGTGAGGCTGACACATGACAATATATTTATTCCACTCACTCATCATCTCAAGCTATCAAGAGGCTTCTCTGGTTGCCCAAGTGGGGACTTGATCATTCGAGAGGTGTCGAAGAAAAGGCCCACGAGGAGAAAACTGGGGCGAAGCAGCTTTTTGAACGCGAGGATTGGCCTGATGGGTCTTATTCTTTTCATATCAAAGCATGGTCTGTATCTGTATGCGGTCTGTTATTCACTCCGTTATCCCTATCGTCAATTACTAACCCCACAATGGAACTATGGCTATGCAAATTAACCAGGCACATCTTTACATGTCACGTGCCAGTGCAGCCCAATCATATACAGCAAGGCATGACTAGTGCTATCAATGCACCAAAGGCATAAGTGACTTCCATTACCCTCAACAGGGATTCGCGGTTCTATGGAATGAATCTAAGCCATACTTATCCTGGGAACAAGGCCCGGTACGGAATTGGATTTTGTCAAACTAACATACTCGTATATTGGCATACCTCACAACTCCAGCAGAACTGCAATCTGAAATCAAAGCGTACCATCGGATTTTTTGGTTGAAAGTTGCTGTCCAAAGCTTATCGAAGGATACTGTATCCGGATCCATAAACTCAGGGCATTCTAACACATACGCTGACTATCCGGAAGGGAAAACTGGATTCAGAAGCACGGAGAATGTGTGCAGTCCTTTAGCTTCTACTTCTTTACAACACAACAATTAACATTCTATACCAAATAAGCTGGAAGCGCATTATTCACCATCAACGTATGAGAATTCCGTATATTATGAAACAAAGGAAGCAGCTTAACATGATCAACAATCACGTATTCTTGTCAAATAGAGTATGCAATATAAATTCTGATCATGATGTCAAGCTAAACAGGGACGGTAAAAATGTAACCCACTAAATTTTCGCCTTGCCACGAAGGATGAAATGATTATTCCCCATACATGATGACACGAAAGTAGTTCCCATGATTTACCTAGGGGAAAAAAAATCACAAAAAGAGTAGCTTCTGTTGAGCAGCCCTCCGCCAAATAAAAGGACTTGATCGGCAATTGAAGGCATCCCATACAAACCCAAGTTGACTTCTTTCGATGCGAAAGAAGTATGAGACGCGGGAAACGCAAGACCAATTGGTTACATCATGGTGATCAGAGAGAATCAAACTACGTAATAACATTTGAGGAGTGCCCTCCTTTAGAATTTTTCCAAAGTTGAAACGTTGCTAGTTCGCTCAATTGCATTCCTAACTTTGGAGTCTTGAACAAGTGACGTTACTGAAGAACGTGGTTTATGTTGAAGACGAGCATAGTGATAAAAGATTTTTCAACGTCGCGGCAGAATAAAAGGAAGGGAAAAATGGAACGTCAAAAATAATCAACATATAGTTGTGATTAAACAAGGCCCCTACTATCCTAATCCTATCCTTTAGGTGACCGACACTGAGGCTTCCAAAGTCACCTTAAAAACTACAGAGGATTGCCAGTGTATAAACATAGCACTTTCATAGCTGCTGAACTTTTATTATCTTCCACGAAACAGGATATTTTACTTCGAAGTTGTAATCAATTTAAACGTCTTCTCCTAGACCTGGGAGCACGAGAGTCTCCAGTATCTACATCAGAAACTCTAGAAGAATCGCTTCTCCTTCTGGAAGAGGATGTGGACAGTGATACCATGGAATCAATTTCTACGGCAGTGTCCATTTGACTCTCCGAATTTATAACAGCAGCAATGCTTGAATATGAATCTCTATCATCTACCGGTGGAGACTGTTCTTGGTTCCTAACTCCTCCGCGGGTCAGGAAATATGTCTCCATCAAAGCTGAGGAAAGAGATGAAAGTGTTGCTCTGTGTGATTGTGTTCTTCGAAGTAGAAGGGATTGCAGCCTGTTGTTATCGCCTGAGTCAAGACTACCCATATTGCTTTCCGCTAGATATGCTGCATCATCCGGCAATGCCCCGCGATTTTGCTCTCTCCGAATTGCTCGAGACGTCAAAAATCTGTCTAGCAAGAATCTCGTTCTCTCTGCTGTTTCACGCACGGTTTCAGGGTCATGGGGGCGAACCACACCCCTTGCATGGGGAATTCCAAATCCACTTCTCTGGAATCTTGGTCTTAAACTCTCAACACGCCTTGCATGAGGCCTGAGAGGGACTTTGAGGCTGGGATCCTCCTCAGGATCTTGAACATGGTTGTTTCCACGACCATATATTGGGGTGATATTCTTGTAAGACACCTCACCCTTGCACACAGGACATTCCTTGGCATCCGGATTCATATGCAGCCACTGATAGAGGCAGGGCCAACAAAACAAATGACCGCAGCAAGTAACAACGGGATCCCTGGCCATGTCCAAACAGACATTACAGTCGAAAAAGCCCCCATCATCGCCGCCACCCTTTTCAACATCATCCTTCTTCTCTGATCCCTCATCCCTCGTTAAGCTGTTGTTATTTTCACATGCTTTCTGTACCTCCTCCGGTCTCATGTCGGCTTCAACACTGTCCTGACCAGTCCGCAGGGCAGTCCCAATGCCAGGGGTCTCCACAAATTCATTTAATTCCATCGGAATATTTTCGGATTCAGGCAGCGGAAAAACATGCCTCTCGGCATCGGGCGGGACAACAAGATGCTGCGATCTCCACTGTAGCCGAGACCTATACCGACGAGCTTCACTAATTCGGCGAAGAGGTTGCTCGGTCCAGTCATCTACAAAGACATGTTCGCTGGCCATGGAATCGGCCGGTGGCTCTGGAATGAGACCCAGATTCAAATCAAGGTTCATCGGATCAGATGTCTGTTCCTCCATCTCGAGGCGGACGTCCAAGACGGAAATAAAGATTACCGCGCAGAATTTTGACGATCCAGGACTAGGAAGAAAAGGGAATAACACCCCGACCCCAGAAAATTTTGGGAAAAATATATTAATGAAGATAAAGAACAGGAATCAATCATGGGAAAGATAATCAAAAAGAGGGAGGGGGGAAAAGAAATTCAGTACCCCGAATAAGGAATTAGATTGGCCACAGCTCATAAACCCTAAATTGATCAGAAAGACGAAGAAGCCGAGACGGGATACCGAAGGTCGACCACACTTGAAGGAAACAAGCCGACTAATTGATGGAGCTGAACTGAATTCGATGGAATTGATATAAAATAAGAGAGGGCAATAGTAGACGGTAAAATGGGAATCACGGACAGGGGATTGAGAAAGGCTTTGTGGGTAGAATGGCCAATAAGGAAAAGAAATAAGCATCGAGAGGAAGACAGAAAGAGATAAAGGGCGGTGCAGGAGGTTTGGTGATGGCGAGAGCGAGGCTAGGCGGGAGAAGAGTGCTGAAGGGACGAGAAACAGGGGAAGGAGCCGCCAGAGGCAGACGTGGTGGCAAACAGGAAGGGATGAAGGGTGTAGACTACCGAGTGTTGCCTGTGATGCTGGTGGACGGTCTTGATTAAAGCTCCTCTGCCTTCCCTCACGCGGTCATTTCCGCTCTGTTTTTACACTTCTAATCATTTCACATAATTTTTTCATATTATAATTTTATTGTTAGATACTACTCTGTTTGTATCAATTTATGAAATATTTTTTTTAAAAAAATTACATTTTAAAATATAAGATACTGGCATAAAAATAAAATTTTATTTTAGTATTATCTTTTTCATATATTCTATTTCTTCAATATTATTTTATTAAGTGAGTATTAAATGAAGGATATTTTTAAAAATTATATTTTTGTTTTAAGAAAATATAAGTTATAATGTGTATTTAATAAACTTTATTGATACATGAAATTTTGTCTAAAAATATTTTATAATTTGAAATGTAGAAAGTACCATACTAAATATCATTATATTCATAAAAAATGATAAAATTAGAAAAAGTAGGACAAGGGGAGTTTAAAAAATGTGGGCAAATTCATTTCAAAGGAGTAGGTTGTGGAATTGGATTAGAGTTGAAATTAAGGCGAGATAAGGATTGACTATGTTTGGTTTTATTGCTTGCTCCTAGTCTCTCACCTATCCCCAGCTCCTGACCCGTCTCATCTTCCCTTCCCCTTATGTAACTGTAACATTTAAACAGTCCAGGATTGATCCTTGCCCCCCTACTGCCATGGGCGAAACATGTTTGATCGATCAAGTATTCCTTACCTTGAATGTTACAAGTTACTTTTAATTGATTAAAATCATAACTCTAATGAGTTAATTGATTGCTTTTAAAACTATATATTCTTTTTATGTTTTCAATTGACAAAAAATATCTTAAAAAACTTAATATATTTTATATTTTTTAACATGATACTTTTAAAAAATGTCTTGTGATATTAAATAAAAAAAGTATTGAAAAGTTTTTTAAACAATAAATCAATTTAGTTACATTGTTCATAGGTAATATATTGCACTGCTTTTGAGAGTTTTTTTCCCCTTACAATTATAAATTAATGATTGAAGAGTGATCATTTGGACGATTCAAGATTTAATTTGAGTTAAGTTTATTCAAATGAGTTTGAATAAACTAAACTTGTAAAAAATATACATGTAGTTGAGTCGGCCCAAACACTCGAACTTTGTGCTTGTTCAAACTATCTTTGATACCTTAATCATTGAACATTTTATTTAAAATTAATTTTTAATTTAAAATTAATTATTTTACTATCATAAAAATATAAAATATGTAACATCCCAATTTAAATTTTAATAGTTAATTTGGGTTAATAAAAATTTTGAAAAGTATTATTAAATTATTATTATAAAAAAAGGTATGAAAAAAAATAATAATAAAATAAATAAATAAAAATAAAAAAATAAAAAAAAATAAAAAATAATAATAATAAATAAAAAAATAAAATATTATTAAATTATTATTATTATAATAATAAAAAGAAAGAAAGGAAAAGAAAGGAAGAAGAAGAAGAAAACGAATTTGCTTCGTCCGCCGCCTCAACAGTAACAATAATAAAATAATAATAAAAAGAAAAGAAGAAGAAGAGAGAGAAAATAATTAAAAAAAATGTGGGACCCACTGAATTTTTATAAAAACTCACCTGTTCCTTCATTTCTTCATTCCTTCTTTCGTGCGTGAGCTTCGGCAGAGAGAGCATCTGTGAGCCAAATTCACCGGTGCTGGGTTTTAAGGTAAGAGTTTTTAATAGGATATTTAGGGTGTGATTTTAAGCTTTTCAAGACTAAGTAAGTGTTCTAAAAATTTTTCTTAGTCATCCTTCTTCTTTAGTTTCTGAGTTTGTAGTGGTAGAAAATTTAAGATCTGAAAGAGGGATGAATTTATGTTGAATAAATATGGTTTTTGAGGTTGTCAGTAGTATAATAAATGTTATAGAGTATAAATTTGTTAATGATCTTTGAATTTATGGCTTATGGATCAAATTCTAAACTAGATCTGAAAATATATGTTAATTTATTGAGGTTTAGATGATTATTTGGGATGAGAAATGAATTATTATGGTTATAGGATTATGATTCTAAGCTAGAGACTTAATTTTTAATTTTTGGGTATTTTAGGTACGAATTTATAAAATAAAAAGAAAATTTTGATAATAGAAATTAGTTTAAAATTTGATTTTTAGATTATCAATGTTTATTGATAATTAAAAGAGGAGTTAAAAATTATACTTAATAGTATTAACTATAGATTTGTATTAAGATTGAGATTAAGAATTATGTTATATTTTTAATTCTATTATTAGAATTATTTTATTAGTTTCAAAAATTGAAACTAATATTTATAAATAATATGTTATTTGTAGATTGTATTACTGGTGAAGATTGTGGTGAGAGAGAAATTTTAAGGAATAATTTATTGAAAAAGCCACAAGGTAACCATGCTTTTAATTTATGATTAGTGTTACTTCTTGTTAATTGGGTGATTATTGAGAAAATTATAAATTTTGTAATATTATATAATTGTGCAATATTATTATAAATTTATTTGATTATTGTGGGAGGTGTTGGGAGATTTGCTATTATTGTTGTATTTATGTGCCACGTGGTATGCCCCTATTGGAGCTCAATAGGTGGTTTGTAAGGGCTCGGACTAATCTACCTTTGGCCGGGTAATTTAGCACCGAGTGAGGGCTACGGCTCGAGGTTAATGGAGGGATATAAGGATGGTTGTTTGTGTGTATCGTAATATTTCTTATATTTGTTGGAATTATATTATTTTTAATTCTCACTTAGTAAGCACACACTTAACTGTTTGTATACACTATCATAAATTGGCTTTGGTTACTGGGACTTTTGAGTCTCATTATGTGGTTAACAATTTTCAGGAGAAGAGCCAAGAGTGACACGTGGAGGAGTCCCAGAGACTTAGTGGTATAGATCCACTGTCTCTTTTGGGTATTTAATTTATGATTTATAATGTGTTATATTGTCAATATTAGGACTTTTTTTATGTTTATTGTCAATTATATGAATATATAAATGTAATCATGCCTTTCAAACTATTTCTATTTTTGGTACAATTTGGATGACTGTAATTTTAATATTTGGTTTACTTTGGATTGGTTAAAATGGCATGATTATAAGGCCAAATAACTGGCTTGTGTTGAAAATTGACTAAATTGCTTATTTTACTTGTTGGGAGTATAAGGATGGACAAATGTGATTTAGTTTACTTGTTGGGAGTATAAGGATGGACAAATGTGATTTAGCCTAATGGCATGTGGGAGGTAAAAATTTATCTGAAATGTTATAGTGTGTAAGTTGAAGCTAATTATAAAATATTTTATATCGAAATTATTGATATAAAAATGTGTTGGGTGGCTGTAACCCAACTATGGTTGAGTTAAATTATTTAAAAAAAAAATTTTTGGTGTGTTACAAAATATATTTAATTTTTTTAAAAAAATAAAGTGTTACTCAGGTATCGAATTTGGCCTGAAGTTTTTTCAAGTCTCCTTAGGCCAGTCCAAACATTGAAAATGTATTATTTTATCAAACCTAACCTTTATTGTTTTTTGATTTTATTTAGGCTGGTTCGGATTATTTGTTTTAACTGATTGATATGTGTGGGTGTATACGTGTTTTTATAATCTATTTTATCTGGAAAGATATATAAAATATAAAGCAGCTTGAGACTCAAAAAACATTAGTTAAGATCTGCTTTGTAGATAACAAGATATTGTATTAGGTTGTCTTTTTAAAAAAAATTTATCTATGAAATTATATTTATTTACTAGAAATGAATGCAATGAAATGTATTAGAAAAATTAAAATAAAAATAAATTAAGTTACATTTTTTCTTCATAATAAATATGATAAAACTCATTAATATATATTATAAATACAAAAATTATTACACTTTTCAAAAATGAATTAATTACCTATTTCTCTTATGGTATGGTTCATACATCTCTCTTAATCATTTTATTTTCATCTATATTTTTTCAATCCATTTTATCTTAATACTTTTTTAATAACTAAATTAATATATATTATAAATATGAAAATCATTATACTTTATAAAAATGAATTAATTACCTCTTTCTCTTATAATATGGTTCACATATCTCTCTTGATTATTTTATTTTTCTTTTCTTTTTTTAATTTATTTTATTTTAATTTTTTTTAATAACTAAATGGGACCTACAGTTTTTAGCAGTGAATTTGGAGGGCAAGTGGGCAAAAGTCGTTGTTTTTTTGGGGGGCAATAATAATTTTTAAATCCTTTCTAATAAGTAATAACTATCTCCGTCATCAAAGAGCAGGCATCGCTCATTCTTGATTCCACTTACCTAGTTCTCCTTCTTTTTACCCTTTTCCTTGCCTTCATATATGTTAGTGAAAATAAAAAATACACCTGAAATAAAGATGTTAGTGCGCGCGCGCGCGCGCGGCATGACTGGCATTGGTTTAACAAGCATCAACGCCAAGTTGCCATGTGCCATCATACCATCTTCAGGAGGAGCATTTCCTAATTCCTCTTAATTTGGATTAAATTTTATCAACAAATCCTTGTTTAAATTTTAATAATAACTATTTTAAATTAACTATAGTTTATTTGAGTTTATTTATCTATTTTAGTTTTGACAATGTTTGTGGTAAACAACAAATCTCAAGCGTGTTAGAGATTCTGAGTGTCAATGGATAACAAAAAGGTTCCGAACTCCCTTACCATAATTCACTTGGATGTAAAAGATATACAAGCTTTTGGAAAAATAAGTCTTTGATTTTTATTGAAATATAAAATGTTACAAGTTTAAGTTAAAAGTAAAACTAACTGATAAAACTAAAGGATAAAATTTATAAAAAAAATGCAAGTCTTTGATTAAGTGTTGACTGTCTTTCTTCTATGTCTTTATCTTCTACTTATAGTGTCAAAGTGGTGGTAGCTTTTTCCTTAAGACCTAGAATGTTTTGCCAAGGAATCAGGGATCTCGCAAAACTTATAGCACAGTCTTTATTCCGTATTCTCCATTTTTGATAATTAGCTCATCTCACCGAGATATTTGGACACAATGTCCGTGAATTCTAAAATTACTCAGGATCGTGTCTCCATGTGTCAACGGTCCAATGTTTATAACTGGCAGAATTTCGACATGTTTATTTTATCGTAGCCTTTATTAAGCTTCGGGGCTAGCTCTTTTGTTCAGATTAACTAGCCCTATAACCTATTTGAGTGACATTTCATATTTTAATCTAAACAAATAACAATTGATCCTTAACTGATATAAATTTTGATCAATAATCTTTGCTTACTATTTTTCCTTTTAAATTTTGCATCCTCTTACGCGTTTTGTTCACTAATATTTTTTTTAATGAGAATCGAGGCAAAAGCCAAAAACATTTCTATATTGCTGCTTAAATAAAGGTGTTTGCTAATATTTTAAATGTCTGTGAATTTCATTTCTAAACGGTTGTAAATTCGGCAATGCCTTTTTAATGATACCCAAAAAAAGTAGTAATAAAATTAACCGACTCTTTTGGGCAAATAATAATAATAATAATAACTCACTCATTTTCAAAAAAATATTTAATGAAAATTTAATTAAGTTGTTGTTTAAGCTAAATATGAAACGTCGCTCAAATAAGTCACAAGACTAGTTGGGCTGAGTATTCGAAATGTCAGGCTCAATATAAACAAAAGAGGCCGACCCTGAAGCTCAATAAGTCCACAACACATAAATATGCTGAAATCCCGTCAGCTTCAAATATCAGACTCTTGGCACGAAGACACAATCCTAAGTAATGTCGTAATCCACACCCAAGTAGTTTGATGAAATGGGCTGTTGATCAAAATGGAGAGACCGTGCCATAAGTTTCGCGGGATTCCTAATTCTTCGGTAGAACGTGCTAAGTCTCAAAGAAAAGGCTTCTGCCATTAGACACTATAAATACAAAGAAGGAAATAACAGAGAACCCAGTCAACACTCGATTAAGACTTGCATAATTTACATTTACTAGCCCTTTTCAGTTCTTAGTTTGCAGTCTATAATTTTCAAACACTTCAATAAAATTACACACTTGTTCTACCAAAGCCTACTATCTTTTTACATCCGAGCGAACTGTGGTAAGGGAACTTGGGACCCTTTCATTATCTATTGAGACCCAACGTCTCTGGCACGCCTGGTATTTATTGTTCAACCACGAACAATTTGTGTCACGCTTAGTGGGACCTGTGTAACAAAGGTGGCAAAGACGTAAAAAGACAAAAGGACTGATGAAACAGGTACTGATTCTCACAAACCAAAAGGGATCTTTATGCACGCAAGATCAGAACACTTATCGCTTGGTGCTGGAGCAGTTGATCATCATGAGCACGTAGTGTCGGTGATAATAGGTAGCAGCAGCACGAGCCCTAGCTCCAAGTCAGGAAGTGGCCAACCCAACCCACTGATAATATCCAACAGACCTATAGCAGAAGTGTTGCAGGGAATTCAAGACCGGATGGATAAGCAGTTAGAAGAGAACTAGAGGTTTTTTGCAATATCCCTAGAAACATTAGAACGCAGGGAGAAAGAACGACAGCAGATCATGATGTAGGTTCTGCATGAAGGCATGAAGAATATAGCCTCATCATTAAAAGGCACCCATCAGGAAGCAGGCTCAAACATAAGGCCACTCGAGAGGCAGCAAGCTAGAGTCAATACAAGTGCTGGCTGTAACACACCAATTTTTTTTTAAATAATTTAACTCAACCATAGTTAGGTTACAGCCACCCAACACATTCTTATATCAATAATTTCAATATAAAATATTTTATAACTGGCTTCAACTCATACACTATAACATTTCAGATAAATTTTTACCTCCCACATGCCATTAGGCTAAATCACATTTGTCCATCCTTATACTCCCAACAAGTAAAATAAGCAATTTAGTCAATTTTCAATACAAGCCAGTTATTTGGCCTTATAATCATGCCATTTTAACCAATCCAAAGTAAACCAAATATTAAAATTACAGTCATCCAAATTGTACCAAAAATAGAAATAGTTTGAAAGGTATGATTACATTTATATATTCATATAATTGACAATAAACAAAAAGCCCTAATATTGGCAATATAACACATTATAAATCATAAATTAAGTATCCAAAAGAGACAGTGGATCTATACCACTAAGCTCTGGGACTCCTCCACGTGTCACTGGTGGCTCTTCTCCTAAAAATTGTTAACCACATAATGAGACTCAAAAGTCCAGTAACCAAAGCCAATTTATGATAGTGTATACAAACAGTTAAGTGTGTGCTTACTAAGTGAGAATTAGAAATAATATAATTCCAACAAATATAAGAAATATTACAATACACACAAACAACCATCCTTATATCCCTCCATTAACCTTGAGCCGTAGCCCTCACTCGGTGCTAAATTAATCGGCCAAAGGTAGATTAGCCCGAGCCCTTACAAACCACCTATTGAGCTCCAATAGGGGCATATCACGTGGCACATAAATACAATAACAATAACAAGTCTCCCAACACCTCCCACAATAATCAAACAAATTCATAATAATATTGCACAATTATATAATATTACAAAATTCATAATTTTCTCAATAATCACCCAATTAACATGAAGTAACACTAATCACAAATTAAAAGCATGGTTACCTTGTGGCTTTTTCAATAAATTATTCCTTAAAATTTCTCTCTCACCACAATCTTCACCAGTAATACAATCTACAAATAACATATTATTTATAAATATTAGTTTCAATTTTTGAAACTAATAAAATAATTCTAATAATAGAATTAAAAATATAACATAATTCCTAATCTCAATCTTAATACAAATCTATAGTTAATACTATTAAGTAAAATTTTTAACTCCTCTTTTAATTATCAATAAACATTAATAATCTAAAAATCAACTTCTAAACTAATTTCTATTATCAAAATTTTCTTTTTATTTCATAAATTCGTACCTAAAATACCCAAAAATTAAAAATTGAGTCTCTAGCTTAGAATGATAATCCTATAACCATAATAATTCATTTCTCATCCCAAATAATCATCTAAACCTCAATAAATCAATATATATTTTTAGATCTAGTTTAGAATTTGATCCATAAGCCACAAATTTAAAGATTATCAATAAATTTATACT